TTAATTCTCGAATGCTCTGGCACAACTTTCATTCTTACCATACATATCAACCTGACAATATTCGACTACTCTACAACGAGACAGTTTGAAAGAATTATAGTGCAGATCATTTTCTAGACGCACTGTACGTAAAACGACATCTTAAGTAACCTGTAAACTGAGGATCCACAAGATTTAAGTTAAACTGTAATGATGCGTCCTCAGAAATCCACTCATTTTTCGTGGAGAATTTAAGGAGAAACAGTAAAGTTAAGAATGCATGATTCATAAATCCTTTTTTTGAGGTTTCCGGTGTATATAATGGCAATTAGTAGTTTGGTTTCGCATCACAAGTCTTATTTACTGTATATGTAATTTTGCAACACGAAAATATCACAGTAGACTAAATGAAGGAATTATCAAAGCTCACTTCTCCCACTGTAAATCTTTTGTCTAGATGACATTTTCTCGTATGTTCACAGTATGATGGAAAATCTCAAAGCAGAATGGAATGGCAAGCGACCTTAAACTAATAGTAACTAATATTACCTGGCATTCGCAACAGTCCGAAATCCTCACTCATTACTTCATTAAAGCTATTTATTTCGATAATATTTATATAAAACCGTTCCTTTTGTGATTTACAGAACAAATAGACCATCAGTTTAACTTGATCGATTTACTGTTACAAATAATCTAAATTTTGTTTCATCTTAAACCAGTACATTTTGTACAACGAAGCTTTACAACTTCCGGACATCTAAGCTACTTGTCAGCCATCATTATTAATAATTATTCACTGGAATTTTTAAAGAATTAATTAATTTCAAGACACTTTCACCATGGCCTGCTACCATACGGCGAAAACATTTTGGCTTAAGCGTAATAGAAAGTATATTCGGTTCTGTGTAGAAGTGTCCTCCTCGGCGGAGTCATCTGAATGCCAGCATAAATCTCTGGATGTCTGGAGTGTAATCACTCCCGTAGTATGTAAGATTATACTGCACTGGACAGCACAGACAACTAGCCTAAAGATCGGGATTGAATCGGCAGAGCGTGTTAACCACTTCTCTTATTTCAGAAGTTGCATCAACCCTATTGGACTGATTGCTGACAAAATCTCAGTAGGGATACAAGGGGCTGGTTTTTCATTTGTCAACCTAAAACATCATTGACAATGATGTAATGTCCGGCTACCAATTAAAGGACTGTGTACTGCACATCAAGAGTTCCCTCCGTCCTCCCTTATGCCTGTGAGATATGGCCACTGAAAGTAGAACAAATGAAAAGGCTAGTTGTCTTTGACCACTGATGTCTGTGTTTGGTCTCCCATGTTTGGTGGTATATTATGGTGAATAATATTGAAATTAGGCATCGAGTGTAAGGTAAGGAGGGAAAATCAATCGATGAGGCGGTGAAGGTACATCAGTTAAGATGGCTAGGACATGTGTTATGCAAGCCTAGCCATCTCCTTCAACGTACAATTTTAAGTGACATAGGATAGGAACGAAAAAGAGCTAGTGGTCAAACCAAAATTTGACATGAGTCCATGAAGTCTTTGCCAGTTAGTTTCAGCCATGTAGGAAGGTGTAGCCTGCCGGATTAGGCTCCTCAAGATTCTAAGAACGAATGGCTGGAGGCAGTTGGAGATATGGCTACAAACCGTTCTCAATGATGCAGATGCATTCACTCTGTGATGTCCCATATCCACTAATTTGTAATGTTTCTCCCTCACATTTCAGCTTATTATAGTTCTTTTTTTTAGCTAGCTTCGCGTAGCATGTGGAGTGCGCATCTTGGATTGTTGAGTTTCTGTTCAGAGTTCTATGTTGAAACTTAATCACTCAGAGGTATGGAACTCTTGTTCATTACTGCCCCGATTTTAGTGTTCACTTAACTGATATCGATTCAAGACTCAGATAGCTTTAAGATCTCAAACAGTATTCAGAATTGAAATTTGTATACTGAGATGAATACCATTGGGTTTTTCTCCTAACTGAGTTCCTTCACTAAATACATATTCATCAGGAGCAGGATTAAATGTGTTTTTTTAGCATCTGCTTCATATTTATAATCACGAAATACACCCATTTATTCATTAATAAGGAAATAAACAGTTTTTGTTTAGCAGAGAAATATTTCCTCCCAACAACTTTATTTTCAAGCTGTACAGTCGTATTTCTATTATGGAAAAAGGCACTAATTGGCACTAAAAACTGTTATGATGTATATATGATAAGAATATAGATAATTAACCATATTTTTAAGGGCATAGATTTGGGATGGATAAATAAGTTTTCACCTTACCATCAAGCTAATTCTATGGACAAACGAAAGATAATTCAGAAAATAAATTCACTAACAAAGTTATAAGCTGTGCTGTAGTATTCATGTTTTCTAAAACACATAAAAGTCTTTTTTCAAGTGTTAGTTTTCAGGCATTGGAGTGGCTACAGGTTCGATCAGGAACTAACGGCGGTTAGAGGGCCATTAGAAAACCAGGGTCTCCTGGACAGATATTCGGTCCTAGTTTGGGACTCTCCGGTAGTAGGCACCCGTCCGACGTTCGAATCCAGGACGTTCCGGTTACAAAACGAGTTAGTAGACCAATCAGCCACTGAGAACCCGATACACTGGTTCATGTGTCCAACTTTTGCTAATTCGCTATATATGTATGTGCGTCGGTGGCGGAGCAGTTAGGACTCTCGCCAACCATGCACATAGTTCGGGGTTCGATCCTCGACCGACGCACACCTGATATCAATGGTCGGTCGGCAAAATTTGGGCTACCGACATTACATACTGAAAATTCCATACTTGTACCGAAAATACGGTGTGGAATCAAGCTATAATCACAAATAAACTAAAAATTTAAAAAATTATATGTATATACATATATATAGCGCAAACATCTATTTCTGAGTAATAGGAGAGGTGAATGATACTATTAATACAGGGAGTGTTAAGTGAATTCCAGAGATAGAAACGAAATTATGTGATATCTTATAAAATTAAGATTCGGCACAGACTCATAGGTATCGCGTTGAAATATAACCAAAACTGCATTGATAAATTGCTGTCCACAACATTGAACAAAAAAAGAAAAAGATTCTGAAAAGAATCTATTCAGATAGATGAAGCTGAACAGATACAACAAACACTTACTCAAATTCTGAAGAAAATGAAGAGTGAATCGTCTAATAACTAGGAATTATCTGGGAAACGTAATCCTGTCATTCTGAATTCCCCTTCCAGATGATTTCCTCAAAGTGCATAAACAGAACGTAGCCTTGCCTACAATTTTCGCTATGAATAATTTAACATATGACATTACTGTCAAATGATTCATGAGTAGTCTTCTACTAACCAGAACTCATAATAATAATAATAATAATCATAGCCTATCAGATTCCGTTGAATTTTTTGATTCCATAAATGATTCTAGTTAGCAAAATATCTCTACATATCATTTCTCTTTTCATCAACGCTTCTTCTAAAAAATCTTTCAGCTTTATACTTGGCTTCATTAGTAATAACGTTGATGTTTCAATCCACTCACACGAGGAGTTCAGTGATTTCCATCATTCGACCAGTGTGATGTCGAAATCCGTAACGAAAAATAACTTCAAACTCTATTTTTTGGATATTGTATAACGAAGCATACCAGATGATTTGTATAACAGACTGACCTAATAGAAGTCAACATAATATGTTCAACACCCAGGTTTCCATAACTGGATCCCTTGTAATAGGAAAAGAAGTCTAAACAATTTTTGGTTGGAGGATTTCATCATGAGCTAACATCAGTTAGAGAACCAGTGGAAAACCCGGGAGCACTGAACATCTATTTCGTCCTGGTTTGGGAATCCTCGGTTGTACACACCCACTGGGGTTCGAACTCAGGACCTGCCGGTCACAAGGCGAGCTCGTATACCATTCAGCCACTCACTCCCTCGTCCAGGGTTCGAACCTTGGTGGGTGCGTACTGCCGACGATTCCCAAACTAGGACGGAACAGATGTTCAGCGCTCCCAGGTTTTCCATTGGTTCTCTACCTGATGTCGGCTCATGAAGAAATCCTCCAGCCAATCAAAAAGTTAGATTCTCGGGATTACACCCGTCGGTGACGCAAGCAGTTCATCAGAATATGTTCGAAATTCGTACACAGAAAACAAGTTTACTCAGTTTCTCAGTCTTCCGCTATATGACTCCTTCTTACATGTTGAATCGTATTGTCGATAATTAACTTATTATTATTACTCTAAGCAAGTTCTGTCTATCTTATGCTCTTTCCCTTACTTCGCCTTCTTTACAAATATGAGACAAAGACAGCCAACATCTAGTGACAACTATCGTCTTATGATATTTTATTCTCTTTTTACCTTCATTGTCTTTGAATTATAGGTAATCAATATTATTAAATGCATCTTATTACTTCTGTCATCGCACTGGGTATCGCTTAATACTTTACTGTTTATAAAGGCACTTCTAGTGTAACTACTAAATGTTTTAAAAAATGCAAATGCAATCGCACAGCTTATGGAGGTATCTGAATTGTCTTAGAAGGAAGAAATTATTATTATCCCCTTGGGTTCCAAGTGGAACATATAGTTTCAACAGAATATCCCTATTTCATCCTGTTCTGTGAAGTTCACTTCAGGTGGCTCCACGATTGCCCCTATACTCACTTATCCTCCTTACACGATCTCCTCCATGTCACCATCTAATCCATGCCCAACTCGCCGTTTTCCATTCAAGTCCCACTCGATATGTCGCCCAACGGTCTCTTCAGCTTGTGTCTGATCTAAGGGGAAAACACTATCTTTTAAGTCAATAGAAATTTTCTAGTTGATAGACGTGGTATTACTTTAACTTCTAAATAGTTTAACAGTGTACCCGATCCATCCAGTAAGACTCAGTTGATGGATTTACTTTACCTATTTAACTATGATGATACTCTTAATTTGTCAGTCTGGTGTTTATATGTGGTATTGTTTATATTTCTTTGTCTTCCATCAATAGCTTCTACCATGTTTACACATAGCCTGCGACAATTGTGCTTCGGAGTTAATCACACCCGGTGATGATCAGAACATGAGTACAATAATAAAATGTGATGCCTGTTGTACAGCTGGTATTCAACTAAGAAGACAGTACAATCCTCAAAGTAGTAATGGTACTGATGAGACAACAGATAATATTAATAATAATAATGATGATGATAAATACATAACAATTCAACACTGCAATAGTTTAGGCACAAATTCTGAATTCAAAGTGGATGAGAAAGCAATACAACAGTTTCCAAGTGTATTATTTATTGATAAACTTCGAGAGCTAGCTAATTTACTAAAAAAGGATGCAGTACATAAATGTGATTATTGCATGTTTGAAAATCAGAATTCTGAAGCCTACTGCAGGTAAGTTGGCTGATATTCACATTAGTACTTGTGCATACCTTTGAAATTTGAAGCGTTTCACCTTCTTCGGAATTTGCGAAAGTATTTGTGGCAAATATTTAGCCTCATCTGTATGAGTGGTTTTTTTAAAACTTTGTTTTCAAAATATTCTATATTTGAGTGACTCCCCGAAACTGATTTCATCATGGCTCGATATTAATTAAACAATCACTGGACAACTATTACTTCTTAGCTAAGAGTTCTTTAGTAGTTCTTTGGGGCTAGTTCTAACAGGATAGTCAAGTTATGAGATGACAACCTTATCATTCACTTACTCACTAGGTCGGGATCCAGTGACCCGTGAATCAACAAAAGTTGGAATATATGGTTTGGATTCCCGGTGAAGTCTTGTGTGTACACTGTTGAAGTGTCGAAAACTTCCAAGAACCACCTGTCCAGAGCTTCCTTGTTCTGAAAAATTGTACAGCTGATGTCACTTTCTCAAGAAATCTACACTGAAACGATGACATTTTTGTTCATGGGTTCTAGAATAGCATGCAGGGTAAAATATTTCCGATTATATGCTTAGTCAGTAGAAATTCTTAAAAACGGTTTTATTATTATATTATATTACTATTATTATTGTTCCCTTGGGTTCCTAGTGGAACATACGCCTTCAACTACACGTCTCCACTTGCTTCTGTCTTCTGCTGTACTTTTCACCTGCATCCATGTTAGTCCATACTGTTTCAACTCCTCTTCACACGATCTCCTCCATGTCACCCTTGCACCGACGTCCCACTCGCCGCTTCCCTTTCGACGGGTTCCACTCGAGGACCTGACGCGCGATGTCACCCAACGGCCTCCTCTGCGAGTGTCCAATCCATCTCCACTTTCTCCTGCATATTTGTTGAGCGATTGGTTGTTGTTTTGTTTGTTCCCATAGTTTCTTGTTTGTGATTCTTTCCAGCCATCTGATCTTCAATATAGAGCGAAGACAGTTGTTGATAAAGGTCTGCAACAGGCTGTTGGAAATACTCTTTGTGACCCACTGGCCAAGTTTCTGATCCGTATAGAAGAACTGACTTGACGTCGTTTGTATTGAAAATCCGAATTTTGTTGTTGATGCTGAGTTGAGTGACGAAGATTTCCAGATTGGTTTCAGGTTGATGAATGTGTTTCTTGCCTTCTCGATTCTCGATTTGACATCCTCGTCCGTTCCACCTGCCTGTAGTTGAGACAATGCTCCCTAGATAAGTGAATGAAGTAACCTCTTTCAAATCCCTCCCATTGATGATGATTGGCACTGGATGTTGCTGCTGTTGTTGTTATTGGTGGTAGTTGGTTATTTTCATAACCTCCGTCTTGCCTATGTTCACATGGAGTCAGTCATGTCTTTGCTGCTTCTTCGACCAGTTTGTTGGTTTTCGCTTGTAAGTCGGTTTTATTAGCGAATTCATATATGAGCCTTAAAGATTTTACTCCTTTTATCGCAAACATTTGTCCTTACAACGAAGAAAGAAGATCTTCAAAAGAAAGTTAGATGTTAGCAATACTATTCACTGTATTTGCCTTTCAGTAATTCCAAAAGTAGGCTTAGTTTTAGTGATTTTATCAGCGTCCTCCTTACATTAATGACACTGACAGTGTTTAGTACTTCCATTCAGGAATATTTCCACTGAACAAGGCGTCCAGTTCACACAGGATAGGTCGGAGCAAGAAGCCATATTCTGTAAAATTCATTATGATTACTATTTCCTTCTTGATAATTGTCACTTGTATATTCCAAGTGATTATCAGATAAATTATGTTGGATTCAAGCTTCCTTTGCGTCGGTGGATCAGAGATAGAATGCTCCCCAGCCACTCGGGTTGTCCGGCGTTCGATCCCCGACTGACGCACTCCCAAACCTCGCTTAGCTGGTAATAAGCCTGGCTAAGAGGGGAGTTTGGGCGTGAGACTAGCAATCACATCCGGTAAAAATTAAACCACTGCCACTGAAACTTCAAAGCTCCAGCTTGAAGCCGCCCTACGTTCCACTGGGAACGCAAAGGAATAAGATTAAAAAATAAAAGCAAGTTTCCCTTTCACATCATATGCACAACACATAAGACTCTTCCAACCATTAAATTTCTCGAAAATAAAACATTGTCTGAATTAGCTTTCAAAGAGACCTTACTCATGTGTCGCAATTATCCAGAGAACAATTGAAAATGCAAGACCACACAGGCGAAGGATTTGAAATCAGAGGAAAAGCAAGATGAAATTAGATATCTTCATATTATTCTTAAGCTATTCCATCGAAATGTGATCACTCAGATTTCGAATTTTCAATGAATACAGTTATCCTTATAATCAGTCAAGCTAGCCATATTTACTGGGAACTTCTTGGCCATGGATTATCATAAGGAATTTGAAGAAGCCACTTGAATGAAAGCCATCACCGAACATCGGATTACTGCTGAATTTAATATGAATATCTCCATACTTTCTTTTTATGCAGTCAGTTGTGATGTTTTTTATTGGCTGACAGTGAAACAGTCACCTATCAAAATTTGATGTGCCAGAAAGAATAAAAATTAAAAGGGTAATAAGACATCAGATTGAAAAAAAGGAAGAAATTTAGGAAATTTAACGAAGTTTACTGATCTATAAAAGGTGTAATGGTGCGTTAGACAGACTACAGATAGTAATCTATAGGTTTCAGAGTTTAAATGATGCTGCTATTACATTGGTATTTAAATTGTCATGATTAGCGTAATGTAAACTGTTAATATCCCCTGCTGTTTCTTCTATCTGTAAAACGCGTAACGTTGCAAAAGGCATGAATTGGTTTGCTTTACAGAGACTTGTAAAGAACAACAAACAGTTCAAAAATGCAGAAGTGCTGGTATGCATTACTAGTCTTTCTAGGATCTTCTGGTCTAATGCTTTATATGGTCCTTCGTCTACCAGCGTCCACAAAGCAATTATCCTCTTTTTTCTGTTCTTTTTATTTCACTGTGGTCGCTACTTCCTTTAAAACAAATATTCATATTAAAATAAAACTAAAAACAACTTGCATAATGGATAAGATTTTATTTTGATAAATCACACAGTGTAGTACAGTTATATTAACTGATGACGTTTCGAGCACAAACTATTGCTCATAATCATATCAAGTTACTCACACAACTTCTTTCCCTTCATTTGTATACATGTGTGGAATCGACTAGATATTGGAATAAAATTCAATATGAGATAATGTACATTCAGAAATAATAGTACGAGTGTTATTAATCCATTGCAATTAGATGGGAAATACGACGAGTGTTTTTATAGTCATAATAAGTTGATTGTTAGAATGTTATGATGTGCTTGAATGGAAATAGAATTTTAAGATTATTTATTATCCTCCTCTGATTTGACTGGTGGTAATAATATCTTCCATATTTCTGGTATTTGCATTGAGTCACTTCTGTTGCATGTGTTGGGTGTAGACTCGATGAATAAGGATTCTGTAATCAACCTCTCTTTCCACCTACATAGATTACTTTTTAGAATTTTAACCCTATCCCACCCTATTGTGTGGTTGTTTGTTATTGCGTGAAGTGCAATAGCTGAGCTTTTTTCTAAATTACCTATCTTTTCAGGGTCAATCATTTTCCCTTTCGCTAAATTATGTTCTGATAATCTGATTATCCCTGACCTACTAGTTTGACCTATGTAGTTGACCTCACAGTCATTGCAAGGTATTTTGTAAATTATATTATTTTGTTTAATTGGGTCCAACGGGTCCTTTAACCTACAAAGTTTGTCTCTGAGTGAGTTTGTTGGTTTGAATGCCACCCTAATTCCTGCTTTATTTAGAATCCTACGTAGGGCCTCAGATGTCCCCTCCTTATATGGTATAACAGTAGAAGACTTATATTCTCCCTTATTTATGTTATTACTACTAGTTACACAATTATTTTTATTTTGTTTTTGGCCTTTACTGATCTTCTTAATGAATTTTATAGGATAGTTATTCAACACCAACGCTTCTTCTATCTGTTTTATTTCGTCATTTAGTTCCTTTTTTGTGCTACTTAGTGCTATGGCTCGGTTTGTCAGACACTTTACCAAGCCTGCCTTAACAGTTAACGGATGAGACGAATTAAAGTCTAAATATCTATTAGAATGCATTGGTTTTCTATAAACACTAGTGTGTAGTTTGCCGCCAGTCAAATCAGAAGAAGATGATAAATAGTCTTAAAATTCTATTTCCATTCAAGCACATCATAACATTCTAACAATCAACTTATTATGACTATAAAAACACTCGTCGTATTTCCCATCTAATTGCAATGGATTAATAACACTCGTACTATTATTTCTGAATGTACATTATCTCATATTGAATTTTATTCCAATATCTAGTCGATTCCACACATGTATACAAATGAAGGGAAAGAAGTTGTGTGAGTAACTTGATATGATTATGAGCAATAGTTTGTGCTCGAAACGTCATCAGTTAATATAACTGTACTACACTGTGTGATTTATCAAAATAAAATCTTATCCATTATGGAATTATACTCTACCACAGTGCTCAAGTTTTATACTTATATCAATAAAAACAACTTGGAAGAAGGCGAATTTATACTATTATAACCAAAGTCAAGGTCTGTCGAAAGCTGACCTGCAAGAACCGGGCAGATATAGGAAACGCTATAAAAGGTTATCCCAAAACAAATCAAGTCTGCCTTTCTGGATCTCATTCCCTGGATACTTTTTCCTATAAATCTATACTCTTATTTAGGGATAGGGCTACGGTTTTCAGGATCAAGGTTAGGGCTTAGGGTAAAGGTTAGGATCTGTAGTCACCTGCATGACTGCATCTATTGCACATTGTATGATTTCACCATGGATTATTCCTGGAGTAACTGGGATGCGTTCTGCCAACACCAGAGACATTTATCCATTGTAATATCGTGTTCGCAATGTTTATTGAGGCATTTTTAAGAATTTTGCTGCTTTTTGATTTGTTGTTCAAGGTCATTGTGA